CAGGTTCTCAGTGTGTAATGGCAGTCCAGCGTCCCCTGGTTACTAGGTAACCAGGAGATGCTGAACTGTCATTACACACTGAGAACACAGTTGAGACGGCGTGATATGGTGGCTCCGCCGGGTTCTCAGTGTGTAATGACAGTCCAGCGTCCCCTGGTTACTAGATAACCAGGAGATGCTGACCAGGGGAAGCTGATCTGCATCTGCATGCAAGTGGCCGGAGCCAACCGTGAGATGATGGCTGGCTCCGCCAAAAAAATAGGAAAAGAAAAATTCAAGTTCCAACAAAAAATGTAGTCACACATGAAAAACAATAATACATTTTTTTTTAAAGTCCCCACCCATACATACACGCGTGCAAACATGAGTCGGGTGCGCATACGTGGGAAAATGGCGATTGTGCCCATTACGCCGCACATGTTACATATTGCTGCGAACGTCGCAGTGAGAGCAATATTTCTAGGGCCATTAATCACTGATAACACTAGACTGATGATCGCTAAAAGCTTTTAAAGCATCGATTTTGGGTATGGTAGTTTTTTGCAATTTTGCGGGTGCGCTCAATTTTAAAGCTTAACATGTTTGGTGTCTATTTACCCGACGTGACCCCGTCTCTTATATTTTACCAAACAATTGGGTAATAACAATTGTATTCGAACATAATGTTAAAAAAAAAAAAAACTTTCAAAATTTTCAATAATTTTTCCTTAATATAGTAAAAAATAAAAACCACAGTGGTGATAAAATACCACCAAAAGAAAGCTTTATCTGTGCCCCCAATAAATGGTGTAAAATTAATTTCAGTACAGCGTTGCATGATGGAATACATGTCAAAGTATCGCAGCGCTGAATACTGAAAAATGGCCTGGCCAGGAAGGGGGTGTAAACACCTGGTCAGCAAGTGGTTAAATAATCACCCTTAATGTTAAACCATTAAAATGTTTTTTCACACACACACACACACACACACACACACACACACACACACACAACCTCTAAATGAAGGCTACTGCCAACAATTCTATGATAAAGAAAAACAAACACCTTTGGTGGGGCTTTAGTATTTTAAATAAAAAAGGTCATATTGCTAGCTAATGCAGGATTTGGAGGGGAAGGTAATGCACAGACATAGAACATTGTTTATACAAAAGATTCGTCCATAACCAGTGATCTCCTCAAACAAACTGTACAGTCCCAAAATATATGTGTCACTGCCAAATGATAGGGAATTGATGCCTGCAGGCACGGGAAGCGAGGATTTGAATAGTGTAGAATTGTTGGATTATCTTCTAGTGGAACTAAACCCTCCTATCTGCCAAACGCACCAGCTATTGACAGACTTTGGGTTTTGATCGGTCTCACCACCTGGAATTCTACGTTCTTTGCTAGAATATCAAGTCATATAATTGGTAAACACCTCGAGCAGCTAATACAACTACTGTTTTTTCGTAACGCTAGAAGGGTTATTTTACTAAAATGGAAGACCCAACAACTCTGTATGTAAAAACCTATCCCAGATGTTTTACCCAAATACATCCAACTTTACATTAGTTTTGCATGCGCAACAAAATAAAAAAATAAATAAAAAGTTGGGGCCATGGTTAAGAGTTCTGACCCAACGTCAATAGAGTTTTGTGTGTGAAAGTATTTAGACCAGTGGTCCTCAACCTATATGACCTCAGGACCGACATTAGTCCTTGGTCATTAAAGTGACATTAAAGCCAAAAATGTTTTCCCCTCCCCCCATGTAAATGTTAGCACTTACCTCAAATGATGTCTCTTATTCTGATCTTCCTCTTCTTTCCCCATGTTTTCATGTGTCCCTCCAGCGGTGCGACGTCACTCCGATCCAGCGCTGACTGCTCTGTCTCCAACGATCCAGCGGTGTCTGCAGGCGGGTGCAAGCGGCCATAGACTTACCTTGCGTCTCTGCTCGTCTCCCGGCCGAGAATCGGAACTGCGCATGCGCCCGCCCCAAGATCCTTTGCGGCCGTACGATCACTTCCTGATTCTCGGCGCGGGATCGAGCAGCGATAACGAGGTAAGGTTTAAACCAGTTCAAGCGGGGGTTTTTTTTTTTTTTTTTAAACTTCTTGCCTATATCTACTGCTTGCTAGCAGTAGATATAGGCAAAAAAACCAGAGGGTTTAGAACCCCTTTAAGTCATGACCCAAGTCGCACCACATAGGAAAGCACGGCATTGCAGTACCGCATGTTCCGGGTCAAGCGATCAAACAGTGGGTGGTGTGCCATTTAAAATGAATTGCAACGCAACACACCACCTGCACCAGAACGAACAGTAGGTGCAATTGTGTGGCAGTTTGCGATTAAAACACTGACAGACACAATCTCACACACACATACACACACTCCCCCCAAAATTTTAGGGTTTCAGTGTGGGCTGCTGTGCTGTGACAGAGCTCCATCCATACGTGCATTGATTGTACAGCTTCCTCGCACTCCCTGTAGAGGTGCTGGGAGCCAGAATGTGATGTCACTCCGGTCGCGCAAAGGAGCTGTAAGCAATGCACATACGGATGGAGCTCCCTCCCGGGCATACCCCCAGCCCACCCCACCTCAAGCTGACACTCGGCGCCAGGCAGCATATTTTGAATGGCTGCCCGGTGTGAGAACTGACCGTGCTGCGCTAGGGGGAGGCTGAGGAGCCTCTCACCTAGTAAAGTGGAAGGCATGTGGCGACCCACTGAACATGGGGTTGCGACCCACCAGTTGAGAACCACAGATTTATACCTCTTCATAGCACATAGTTTTATTATATTTTTTGGAAGGGGGTTAGGGAAGACAGAGACCAGTGTGTAAATCTCAAAGAGTGCGAAATATAAAGTTCACCCAGTGTAGAGGTCCAGAAACAAATGGCTGCACTGGTATCTTTCTTACATTTTTCAGAGAAGGTGGAATCACTACTAGTGCCTAATGGCTTAGGTTAGGTAGCTCTTCTGCAGGAATTGGGAGACCCCTTAGGTTAGGAAACTCTTTTTACAGGAATCGGGAGACTCTCAGGGGAGGAGCTATGACCCGAACAGAGAAATCTAAATGTAACGGGTCAAACTAAGAGAAGTTCAAAACCTTTTAATTACTCAACTGATAACAGCAAAAACAGTAGATAGCCAACACGTTTTGGGGGCTACAATTTCCCCCTTCAGGGTTGAATAGAAATAATGTTTCGGATGGATTCAAATAATGGCTTCTACGATGACAAAGAGAATTTTTGCATTTTGCAGTTGCTATGGTACGGCACATGTGATTAGCATTTGAAAGCTTCAAAGTTTGGTTGAGAGCCAAGAACACTGGCAATTGTGACAGTTATGAGCAGCGGCATGCCTTGAATGCAACATGCACTAGTAGGGAGAATGTACATGAAAACACAGAAGAAAACAATGGTATGTTTTAAGGATTTAAAAACATTAAACTTTTTTTTTTTTATATACTTGATCTTTCTTTTGGGAAACTGTGAAATCAGTGGGTGCAGTTCCACTTTAATATGGCACTGGAGGCCAAAATATCACCAATAAAGTTCTAACTTCCGAGGCAGGTTTGTATCGGACTGGTGGACAGGAGAAATCTTTATGCTGATTTTTCTTCTTCTTTTAACAGAGAACTCAAGGATTTCCAAGCAGCCTAACCAAGACCCTCCCTGTAACTGCAAAATTCACTCTTAGCCTCCACGAAATCTAATCTTAACCCAGCAATGGACAAATTGATATGGAATTCAGGGGCTTGTCTGTCTAATCCAGAAGCCACCAAGATCTTTTTTTTTTAATGGACCCAGCTCCATTGGTGACAACTACAGCAAACCTCAAAAGTTGGGCGCCAGCTGTCATTTTGAAGATGCGTTGGCTACCTGGCACATGAGATTTGCCCGTTTGCTCCTTAGTGCTGCACCAGGATGTTGAAAAACATGAGTTGATTACCTGATAACTCTGTTTCCAGGAATCTTCCAGGACAGCCATCGAGATATAGGCTCCGCCTACCTGCAACAGGAAACACACCAACCACATTAAATAAATAGACTCCTCCTTCCATCCCAAGTCAGTAACCTCTAGGACCGAAGGCTACCCCATGCACAAAAGTATCCCCTCCTTCATCCAACCTCGGATGCCACCTGGATACACACCAAGGGCGGGAACTGGCTGTCCTGGAAGATTCCTGGAAACAGAGTTATCAGGTAATCAACTCATGTTTTCATCTGACCTGTCATCTTCCAGGACAGCCATCGAGAGGATCAGTGAGGACATACCTCCTAGGGTGGGACCACAGCTTGCAGGACTTTCCTGCCAAATGCCTGACAAATAATCCTGCAAAGAATGATCCACATGTGACAATTCCAGCTTGGCCAAACTTCGGCATTCTAGCCATCAGGTTTTGAAGATATTTGGGGGAAATTGGAACCCATACTGTAGCACGGTCCAGTTTTCTCTGACCTTACAGTAAAATGCTTGCCACAATAGCT